GCTGTCCCGGCGCCATCCTTTCCGCCTCTCCGGCTTCCCGTGCGCGCGGCCCCTCGGGAGGGAGCGGGGAGGACACGTGGTGGGAGAGGGAGGGTCCGGCCGGAGCTGAGGGTGTTGGGAGGCGAGGGGAGGAGCGCGGCTGATGTCAGCAGGCCTCGGCGGCGCGGGCGCGGACCCTCCTCCCGCGCGGCTTCCGGCCGTCCGCGCTCCCGGGGCGACCTTGCCGCCTGCAGCCGGTGCAGCCCGCCCCGGAGCGCCGCGCGTGACCCCGGCGTGCGGGAGGCAGGAGGAGCCCGGTTTATTTTTAGCCGAGTGTGACGGGGCGCACAGGGCCGTGCGCTCGTTCGCATGCACCAGCGGCTGGCTCTGGCCTGCGTGAGCCCGCAGACGCTCTCGCCCGCTCCAGGAGTGCGGCGCTGCAGGGACCGCAGGAGGGGTGCGAGGCCTTTGGGGGAGAACACCGTGTTCTTCAGGCCGATGTCCCGAGCTTCGTGATGCGTGCAGAAGGAAGTCCCGGGGTTTTGTAGCTGGTGCTGTTCAGTCCCGTGCAGGAAGTAGTGTGTAAAGGATCGTAATTTTCTGAAATGTTCAAAGGAGTTGTTTGCTTGCGGCTCAGTGCGCAATACAGCAAAAGGGACCCAAGAAGCTCTGAGGCCTGCCTTCCTTCAGAAGATTTCGGATTTGCATTTTTGTTGGGAATTTGCTGGAGAAAAATTATTCGGAGACTTGTAAGAACGGCAAGGAAGACGGGGATAGGTGTCAAGACTATCGCCGTAGGGGAGCGAGATGGGGCTCAACACCCACACTGTGAAATCAGCTGGCGATTTGTAACCAAGGAGCAGAGCGAAGGGGTCCGTGGATGGATTTACTCAGAGACAGCAAATGTGGAGGGATTTTTGCAAAACCGACCTCCCAGGATTCTCGCTGAGGGCAGGCCTCACCTCAGGTATCAGTGTGATCAGATACCAGCGTGGGAGATTGTCTCCGAGCAGACTTTGCAAGGTTCTTGCTAGAACTGAACTGGGCTGGACGGAAGTGAGGCAAGGGGCGACGGCAGCAGGTCCAGCCCAGAAATAGGCTCCCGTCTGAAGTTTCCTCAAGGAAAGTGTACTGAACTTCTCAGAGTGTCCTTGGGTCTGAGTACCTGTGGGGACAGCTCTCTTTCTCCGTGTTTTTGTGGGCATTCCTACTTATTTATAGGTGAACTTTACTTTTCTCTGCCATGGAAGAGGCCCCGGGGGCCTGTGTTCCTCATACATAGACTATGGTATGACAGACACACCTCTGAAGAGCAGTCATCTGCGACAACCCAAAACTGGCTGAGATCTAATGGGTAGAGATTATTCAGACATTTTTTAGGGGGAGTGTTGGATTGTTTTTTTAAACTTTATTTCCTGCGTGAGTGAGAGCACCTTTCACAGGGACTTGACCCCACCGCCTACACCTAGCCTTCGACAAGCCCCGTCGGGCAAGCATGTGTGCTCAGGATACTTCGGGAGGTCTCAGGATGTGAACCTGGAGCCGCCTGTGTGGCTTCATCATGAAAGCATTGCATTTGACCACTGTGCTACCATCTAGCTCCCTAGAATTGCTTGTGTGTTAATGAACAGTCCTTTTTGTGTATGAAGTTCGTATTTTAAGAGCAGGAGTGACCCCCTAGGTTGACATCCCTGTCTTGGTTTTTCCAGGAAATGGCAGGTGCAGGTGGGCAATAGGATGGGGAATTGGCTCCTCAACTTCTTGCCAAAGTCAATACGGATCATGAGCTAGCTAGAAAGGAAGGGTGTGTTGGGGTTGTAGTTCCTGAGAGCTGCCGTGTTCTTGTGCAGCATCTTTCGATGTCCCTGGGAAGAGGCTATCGGCGCCCCCACTCAGTTCTTGACTGTTCCCAGAGCCCCATGAGATCGGGCGCTGTCATGGGACCCACCGTTTTCAGGTCTGTAAGTGCTAACGAGACTTAGTCTAGGAGCCCAGGCCTGGTGTCAGCACAGTACACTGCAATGTGTGTTCACATTTAAGTGGCTTCCTACCTCATGACACTGCTTTCTGCTTGAGTGTTATTTGCAGAAAGGGAAGGTTGGATCAGATATTGTCCATGCTTTATCTCAGTGCTATTATTCAATACCCTTCTCCGTAGGACTTCTTAGTCTGAGAGTGCCTGGCGTTGGTAGGTTGGGTTTCTGCTGGTTAGTATGTGTCAGGACACCTGAGTAATCCGTGTAACACGAGTTCTGTAATGATGCTATTGGTCTGACTGCCTCTCTCCTCTTACCAAACCAAGTACACAGGCCACAACAATCCCAAAGAGCCTCAGATCCCACAAAGCACTTGTTTTTGATGGGCTGCTGTGTTGTGTAAGGGTTAGACTGCTGGGTAGAGGAAGCTGGAGCCCACATGATCCCAACCAGGGCTCTAGGCCAGGCTCCGATGACTTGCTGGGTGCTCCCCATGCTCAGGGTCCTGAAGGATGAATTGGAGGAAAGAGGATGGCAAGGTCACCAGGACCTGGTGGGGGTGGGGGATAGTTTCTCCCTTTCATGCACTCTCTGGCAAAACCAAAAGAAAACCAAAAATACCCCTCAATTTTGAGTTGTGCTGTCCCTCAGTAAGTAGACATTTCTGACCGTTAGCAGAGGGGCGTGGGCCTTCAGGTCAGCAGAGCTACTTGGGTTCATTCCTCCGTTCCTCAGGGGCTCTGTGTTCCCAGCACGCCTTGTCTGTTCCACTGTGTTCCTAGTCTTCAGGCGTTTGTCCAGGCTGTGATTTAGGGACCTGTGTTCCCTCCTGTGCCTTTGCTGCAAACTGGGCCTTGTGGTTTGCTACACCCATTAGAGTGAAAGGAAAAGGAAAAGAAAAAATAGAGAAAAACCATCCTTTTCTTGGCCCTAAAGTGATAACCGATCATTTCTGTTCGCATCCTGGTGGTTGGGATCTGTTACAGTGGCTCCACCTATTTGTGAAGGGGCTGTCAGGCAGGCACTTTCCAATGACAGCTCCGTACAGGGAAGGGCACCTGGAATTTGGTCTCTGAAACAGAGATGGGTTCTTCTTTCAACACTAAATATTTCACTCTATTTATCCTTACTTTCAAAAAAACTTTTTTAGAATTACGCATTTAAGTTTACGTATCATTATTATTATTTAATTCACCAGAGAGAGAAAGTGAGAAAGCAGGCTACCAGGTCTGGGACTGAAACCACTGTTGGCCACGTGGGAGTCCAGTGCCTTAACCACCACTCCACCTGCTGGCCCCACTGTGGATATCTCTATAATTTTGTTCAGATGACTGCAGCACCTGGAAAAGCTGTTGCTGCTATTGCTGCATAACATACTGCTATTAGTGGCCTGATTATATATATATATATATTATATACAC